GTGGTAGCGCATGCCTGTAATTCCAGCTACTTGGAAGGCTGAGGGGAAGGATCGCCGGAGCCCAGCAGGTCGAGGCTGCGGTGGCCGGGAGCGGCCACTGCACTCCGGTCTGGGCAACAGAGTGAGACTCCAACTCAAAAAAAAAAAAAAAAAAAGAAAGAAAGAAAATAAATAGAGACAGGCCAGGTGCGGTGGTTTACACCTGTAATCCCAGCATTTTGGAAGGTCGAGGCAGGAGGATCGCTTGAGGCCAGGAGTTCTAATCCAGCCTCGACAACATAGTGAGACCCCATCTCTACAAAAATAAAAATAATTAGCTGGGTGTGGCGGTGCATACCTGTAGTCCCAGCTACTCTGGAGACTGAGGTGGGAGGATCATTTGAGCCGGGAAAGTTGAGGCTACAGTAACTATGATCAGCCACTGCACATCAGCCTGGGTGAGAATGAGACTGTGTCTCTAAAAAGAAAAAAAAAGAAGTAGAGACATTGTCCTACAACAAGGATTTAGAGAACTCCTTCCTACTCTTGTGGTCAGCACTGCTTGTGAAAATAGGGCCACCTTGCCTATTGTCCAATGGGGAGTTGGAAAGAAAGCATGTTCTGGTCAAATTGTTATTGGTAGCTTCCACTCATCTACGCCATCAGTTCAAGCTGGAAAGAACAACTAAAACTGAGCCACAGAATTCAAATAGTTCTCAAATCGCCTGTAAGGATGGGCCAGAATTAAAAAAATTAACTGCCCTTAGAATACAAAATACAAAAAAAAAAAAATTCTCAAGATTGAATTAAGATGGGTGGACTTTGCACATTCCTCAAACTCTTTTCTTCTCTAAAATGCCTTAAAATGTCAGATGTCAGATATGTTTTAATATAAGTAAATTAACCATGGTGCTGGACAACAAGGAGGAGATGAACTTGGAGGCAATTCTGGGAGATGAAAGTGAGATCAAATTATGAGGTGCAAGAATACCACAGTCTAAACATATATGAAAGAAATGTTCTGTGAGAGCAAGGGAGAGCTAGAAAATTCCAGGACCAGATGAACTAATGCAAAGAGGAGGAGAAAGTCCTGGGATTATTTTAAGGCTAATTAAACAACTGCTTTCAAAACTTTTGACCCTAAGCTGGCTCGGTGGCTCAGCCTGTAATCCCGCGATTTGGGAGGCTGAGGTGAGTGGATTGCCTAA